TATCCCTCATGTTAGGGCAATTTAGAGGTTCTAGCTCCGGTGAACATGGTCTTGGTGGCGATGGCGGTTATGGAGGGTACATCGACAATCATGGTTCCAAACACTAGGGACAGTGTTTCGAAAAAAGTGTAGGGGAGGCACTCATTTGGTATGTACTCATTTTTTTTTAACCTTGTAACTTGCATTATTTTTCATCAACAAAAAAAAACAGCAAAAAAAAACAATAAAAGAAAAAAAAGAATGCTAGTTAGGTTGAAAACCCAGAAAAAAATGGGCAATCTAAGCAAAAGTGGCTAAAATGAGTGAGTTGTGAGAAATGAAAAAAATAAAAAGAGAGGCTAGGATGAAAACCTGAAAAGGCTCCTAGGCAAAATGAGAGAATGAGAGAAAAATATCTATTTATGCAGAAGATAATAAAAAAAATGTTGGATGGTTGTTCTGCTACTTTTGTGGTTTTGAAAACTTCATGGGCAAGTTTTAATTTACTCGAGACGAGTAAAGGTTCAAGTGTGGGGGTGTTTGATGGGCACTAGTTGTTAGTGCCTAAGTATACATTTTTATTATTGTTTGTAATGTTTATTTACTAGTTTTGTGTAAGTTTATAGTTGCTAGTTTGCATTTGATTGTAATCGTATTTTTAGCATTTTATTGTTTGTTGTAAGTTGTAGTTAGTTGAGCTATAAGTTTAGGATAGGTTTGGAAGCAAAAAGGATGAAGAAACCTGAGTTTTGTGCAAAACCCGGTCGGGTATGGACTTTACCCGGCCGGGTATGAAGTGACAAAGGAAATTGCTACAAAATTAGCAAATACCCGGTCGGGTATTCCATATACCCGGTCGGGTATTCTGTGATTTCGGACCAAAGAACGTGCAGAAGACACAAAAACATGGGAAAATATTTGATTTGGTAAATACCCGGTCGGGTATGTCAAAATACCCGGCCGGGTATCCGGCATTAGGTGTTGAAAACACCTATAAATAGCCCCATTTTCCTTCACATTTCATCATCCCTTCTTCCATACTCTTTAGCTCAGTTTAGAATAGCATTTCTTTATATTTTTCTAGCTATGTTTAGTCTCCAAATGAGGAGCTAAACTTCCATTCTTGGTGTTGCTCTTGAAGCTTGTTGATTATTAAAGTTGTGAGTTATTTTCTTAACTTCTTTCCTTGAATATTAATTAATAGTTCTTTCCTTAATACCATCTCTATATTAATGTTGGGGAGTGTTGCTAAGATGACAATTAGTTAACATCTCGACATTAGTTAGAATGGTATTTTCTTCCTCTATATTAATATTGCGGAGTGTTGCTAAGATGACAATTAGTTAACATCTTGATATTAATTATAGTAGGATTCATCTTCTTTAATAATATTCTTCCTTGAATATTAATTAATCCCTACTCATATTTCATATTAATATTTTGAACATTACTTAAAAGATCAACTAGTTTTGTTTCATATATTAATTATTACTAGAAACGATCAACGAACCGATGGTTAATCGTTGATAGTTTCACAAGTAAGTAACTTCGGTTTATTAATGCACGGTCGTGGTTAATAAACTTAAGAGGGATTAGTTTTGTTGGTTAAACCGAAACCGTTGTGTTGAGGTTATCAATCTCAATTGATTTCATCAAGGAGTTAGAAAGATTAAATGCTACTATTAAATCGGTATAAGGCGTTGTTCTATATTTGATTAATAGTAAGGGTTATTAATGAACGGTTGTTGTTAATAACTACCCTCGATGAAGTGGATATACTCCCCGATTGAGTATTCGAGAGGGAATAAGTTATAGATATAACAATGATCGACTAAAATATATCAACAAGTGGAAAGTAGCAATGCCAAGTCCTTTTTATCTTTGAATTAAATCTCATATATGTCGTTCATCTTAGTTTTTAATTAAATTAAATCACTCAATCCAAATCCCCCCTTTATTTACTAAGTTTCATAAAAAGAGAATTATTCCTTTCCCTGTGGATACGAACCTTACTACGCTATACTACGTATAAGTGTTTAGTATTGAATTTATTTTGACGCACCTTGACAAAGTGCTCGTCAAGTACCGTGACTACAGTTAGTCACGGATACGTCCGTGACTAATTCCGTGACAAGCGCAAAATTGATTTTTTCAACGTTCCAAATTTAAAGTGCTCTGACAAATCGTACCAAAAATGTGTAGTCACGGACACATCCGTGACTAAGTCCGTGACTACAAGTTTTATATATGCAGCCTCCGCTTCATTCAACAAAATCACACCATCTACTCCAGATAGAATTCCAGATAGAATTGAAGGATGTAATCTACCCATCTCATATCATTTTTCCTGTTTATACAGATAAGGTATGTAATTTGAATTACGTATTTTTTGTATGAATTAGTTGGTTCATTTTAGCTACTACATTAGTTAAATTAATACTTAATTATTAATTAACGAAATAAATTCCTTAAATTTAGTTACGTTAAACGTAGGTGTAATTTAAACATATAGGGTTAATTAAGTTGTATTTAATTAATTAAAATTACGTAAATTAGTTAAATATGTAAATTAGTTAAATACATATGTAAGTATATTATTAAATATAATATTGGCAATACATATGTTATTAATTTTAAATAATAGGGTTAAATTACGTAAATTAGTTAAATACGTATGTAAGTATATATGATTAAATATAATTTAAATGCATATTATTAATATTAGTTAAATGTAAGTATTATTTAATTCAAATGACTTTATATATATATATGATTAAATATAAGTATATGATTTCTTTATATTGGCAATTATTGTTAATTAAGGCGGCCTAATTTAGGATTAATAATGATTTAAATTAGGGTTAGTTAATTTAATTTAAATGTGTTTATTATATATATATGCTCAAATTATTGGATTTGCTCATATTATTTAATTTAGTAAATTGTTAAATGTGCATTATTAATAAGATTAAGATGTTGATAATTTTAGTATTGTGGATTAAATTAATGCCATTAAGGTATTGTGCATGTTTATAGTTTAATAATATTAATTATTGGACGTTAGTTGATTTTAAGGGAATTTTAGTGAATTTTAGTGAATTTTAGTGAAATTTTAGGCAATTAGTTAATTTTATGGGAATTAGTTAATTTTAAGGGAATTTTAGGGAATTAGTTAATTTTAAGTGAATTTTAGAGAATTTTATTGAAATTTAAGGAAACTAGTTAATTTTAAGGGAATTTTAGGGAATTAGTTAATTTAAAGTGAATTTTAGTGAATTTTAGTGAAATTTAAGGAAACTAGTAAATTTTAAGGGAATTAGTTAATTTTAAGGTAATTTTAGGGAATTAGTTAATTTTAAGGGAAATTTAGTGAAATTTAATGAAATTTAAGGAAACTGGTTAATTTTAAGAGAATTTTAGGGAATTAGTTAATTTTAAGTGAATTTTAGTGAATTTTAGTGAAATTTAAGGAAACTAGTTAATTTTAAGGGAATTAGTTAATTTTAAGGGAATTTTAGGGAATTAGTTAATTTTAAGGGAATTTTAGTGAAATTTAGTGAAATTTATGGAAATTAGTTAATTTTAAGGGAATTAGTTAATTTTAAGGGAATTTTAGGGAATTAGTTAATTTTAAGGAAATTTTAGTTAAATTAAGTGAAATTTAAGGGAATTAGTTAATTTTAGGGAATTAGTTAATTCTAAGTGAATTTTAGTGAATTTTAGTGAAATTTAAGAAAACTAGTTAATTTTAAGGGAATTAGTTAATTTTAAGGGAATTTTAGGGAATTAGTTAATTTAAAGAGAATTTTAGTGAAATTTAGTGAAATTTAATATATTAATAATACTCCACATATAATATGTTCGTAATGTTTATAATTTAGAGTTTTTAACCTGTATAATTTTTTTATTATAATATTCAGGCATAATGTATAGACAAAATAGAATTTGGATGTACGATAAACATGCGGTATTGTACGGAATGCAATCAAATTTTCTTGAAGGAGTTGAGAAGTTTATTAAATTCGCACTTGAACACCCGACTTATATGGGTGGTGATAAAATCAGATTTCCATGTTCAAAGTGTAAAAATCTCAAATTTAAACACCCAGATGAAGTTGGGTAGGATTTGTACGCGGACGGTTTCCTTCCCAATTATTACAATTGGACTTCTCATGGCGAACCTTTGGATCCATCTGTTTTACCACAAACGGTAGGTTCGTCTCGTAACGTCCCTGCAGAGATGAGTGTGTGGGGAGACCCTGCTGAAATGAGATGGGAGCAACGTATGGTATATGACGCATACGGTGCATCGATGTCTCAGTTCAACCCTGTGACACTCCGAAAAGTTTAAATAAAATAAATAATTTTATTAGTACGTTAAAGTGTTATTTTAATAATTAAGTGAATTAGATTGGTGACATTTTCAATAATAAAAATGACAATTTAAGAAGTTTTAAATCATGATGGTATAAGTTAAATTTAATGTGTACAAAGATGACAACGTTGGTACATAATACTTACACGTACAGTATTGTACGCAACACAATTGTGGAGTAATAACAAAGATTAAGTTGACTTTTCAAAGGCAGGCTTATAAACAAAATATGTAGTATACAGTATGTAACAACTTACCTAAAATATAGTTACGTATTAACCAAGAAGTAAACCAAAATACTACTCCTTAACATTAAAAACAAATATAGGCGACCAACTGCGTTACAAACTTTGCGCATCGGTTATAAACCATCAAAGGAAAGATTTTAAAAATAAAGGAGGAATATCTCCAAACGTATGAAACGATAAGCTCGTGCGTAGTATCCAACGCTCAAAACCTCAAACTAATCGGATAAACCATAGAAGTGAAACTTTGGGAACTGAAACATAAGCTTGAACCTTCAGCCACACCTATAAATAGCAGACCAAACTTTCAGTTTTCTTCATCCCCAAACCTGCGACATATATATACATATATGTATATATACTCTATTTTTTTCGACCCTTCGTTATAATACAAACCGAGCCTTTAAAATACTCTAATAACCTTCCCCTTCGAGAGAAAAATCCAAAGGTGAAAGAATCATAGAAAACGGTCGTGAAACGAGAGAGATATCGCTTGCCGGAGTTTCGCCGGGCTAACCGTAACGAAGAAAAACGGAGAAGAAGAAGGAACCGCCGGCGCCGCCAGTCCATCACCGACCACCGTCGTCCCAGAAGGAGCCGATAGCACCGCCGTTTCACTCGTCCGTCGAGGTAACCTTTCCCCCTTGCTTTTGGCCATTGCCGGCGTCGCAAGGAAGAAGACAACCGTCTTCTGTGTTTTTTTTTCCTGGGCCGAACTTCCTTCATGTAGGCCTGCTCTATTTTCTTTTTATTATTAATTAGGACGGTATATTTTATTATGTTTGGGCTGGATGAACTCTTAGTATAATAATAATATAATAATAATAATCTGCAGAACTAATAAATGGAGGTGAAAAATATTAATGCTGAAATTGGCTTGATTAAATGATAGTAATCACTTGGATAAATTTGTTAATTTTATCTTGACATAATTACATAATGTTAAATAATAAAAAGGAATCGATGGTTTAATTAATAAAAACTGATAAAACGAATATTTTATTAAAATAATAATTAGTTATTTGGGTTTAGTAACATGAGTAGAAAAAAAAATTGGATAGATATTATTTTCACTAATTATTGGAATAATTGAAGTAGATTAATAAGTTAACATAAATACCGACTCGGAAATATTAAGTTAACATAATTGAAGTATATTATTTTCACTAATAATAACCGGATAATTTATCCTTTATTAATGGATTATTGATAAGTAAAATCTAATTGGAACTTTTATATGAGTAGATAAAGTCGAACCCTCTATAATAGAGAATCAGTAAAATAAAATAGAGAGTTAGAAGTGGATTGATTAATAAAATAAACTCGTATAATTAATTAATAATATTAGTATATGCGAATAATAAAATAAAAGGGGAAAATTGGGTAAAATAATTACAAATAAGATAAGTGACTAATTATATCATCTTAATTAAAAAGGTGAATATTTAGATACCGGAATTGAGGAAGAGAATTAGGAGCATCAGGACTTAAGGTAAGTTTCTCTGTCAATCCAAAATTGTTTCCTCGTATTATATGCTTATTATGCATTATGTGATTAAGTGTAAATTTTAAATGTGTACTATTTTGGATGACTAAGAATTTGTGAAATATTGGAGATATATTTTGGGATTTAATCCCTAGTATGACTTGGAGTGAATTTTTATGTAAAAGAATTTTGGAGTATTTATGAATTTTGAATTGTGTGTATGTGATTTTGAGGAATACAAATTAAAAGTACTTTTTGGGGTATTAAATATTTTTAAATACCTTTGAGACTATTTAGAGAGATTGAGAAATATTTTTGGAAGCATATCTTGATGATTCAAGATAAAATTAAGGATTTTATAAGAGGTGAGCACCCGGGAGAAATCCGTGGTGTCGGTTTTTCCACATCCGGATAAATGTGGAGGGTGGTTAGAGCTATATACCGCGGGTTTAGTTTAGGTTGATTATTGTTGGCGGGAGAAATCCCGGTAAATATTGGTGGCGGGAGATTCCCGGTATTTCTTTTGAGAACTTTAAAAGTTCTTTGGTGGCCGGGGTAGTAGTTTCTAATTACCCGGGTTTCTAACCCATTGTGAGGTAGGGGGACGTTGTCCGAACTACTTGGACTTCTTACTACTCAGAGGGCTTGGAATCCCTTTTAGGGGGTGTGCACACTTAAGGGTGAAGTTCAGTTTCCAATTGGTGGTCGGTGGGAGCCGGAATTCCGGGATGAGTCGTACGCAACAACGATTCATTGGGTTCGAGAAATCTTGAGTTTCGCCCATCTTAAAAGAATCTGAAAGTGACATTGATTTCGGAATGGTGATATTTTTAGCTACAAAAGTTATTTTTGAAAAGTGATACTTCTTTTGAGATATTAATTAATTGTTGGGAGCTTATAAATATTATTTTTAATTATAAGGGTATTTCATAAAGTTGATAAATGATATTTTTGATTAAAAAAGAAATTCGGTGGTGTGAGTATTTTTATATATAGTATTATATGAAAAACTATTTTTGTCAAACTTGATTATTTTACGGGGTTGGGTAGTACTTACTTAGCTCTAAAGCTAATTTTTGTTTCCTTTTCTTTGTTTTGTTCTCTGCACTTTATTTGTGCAGGTAATGATGAATATGAAGCTCATGATGTTTGACGAGCCTTGAGAGCGCTTTAGAAGATTTATGTGTAGCCTTCACTTAGTTTGAATAATGTTATTAAATTTTGAATTTAAGTTTTTAATTCGGTTGAACTCATGGTGGATAGCCTAAACATCCAGCCAAGTTGAGGGCTGGGTGTGGCGGTAACACACCCTTTTTCCATTACTGTTATTTCCGCTGCAAAACTCTATTTATTTTTTAAGGAATAAATCAAGGTTGTTATCAATATATTATTATTTCAAGTATTATTTTGGGCGGAAAAAAAAATGGGGGTGTTACAAATTGGTATCAGAGCCTTAGGTTTTCCGAAGGGAGTAGAACACGAGGTAATAGGTCGTAGGGAGAAATTCTGTCACAAAGACGAACAGTCTAAGCTGGTTGGTGCATAATTGAGCCTTTGCGCTCGTCCAACTAACTGGGAATCTTGTGCTGAAACTTCGTGGTTCGAAATCTTTGACGAAAACCATGGTTTCGAAGCGGAGATTTTCAAAACGTTTTCAAAAAAAAATTAGGAGAATGAACATACTAGGAAAAAGGTCTTTTAGGACGCAGTGAGAAGGAGAAACCTTTGCGATATTATTGAGTTATGAAATGCATGAAATTTGTGCTTATGTGAAGTATGTGGAGTAAGTAAGATCCTTTGTATGTGTTTATCTGTTTGAAGTTAGTAGAGAACTTGTATAACGTAGAAGCCTTATGAATGCCTTAGAACTTAGTACACGTTTTCTTTATTAAGAGTCATGCCGCCGAGAAGAGATCCCCATGCGGCCCCAACTGTCGAGGAGCTGGCCAAACTGTCCAGCGAATGGCGCAGCTCATCGGAGCAGCTCAACCCCAAAACCTTGGGATTGACTACGCAACAAGGGTTGCCGGGCGAAACCCTCCAAAATACTTAGGCGAGGAAGACCATCTTATCTTGGAGGACCGGATTTGCACTTTCGACAAGCTCTTTGACTCACTCAATTGCGCGTCAGAGCAACGAGTGAACATTGCGGTGTATTATCTGCACCAAGAAGCGGACCACTGGTGGGACGCCAATGGACCAGCACTTCTCGAGCAACCGGGCTTTGATTGGGAGGACTTCATAGTAGCGTTGCGTGATCGCTTCTATCCATATCACGTAAAAGAGGCAAATTATGATGAATTTGTCAACTTCAAGCAAGGCGACTTGACTGTTCAGGAGTATCACACGAAGTTCGTCCAACTGGCTGGTTTCGCCAAAGACCTGGTGTCAACCGAGGCCAGCATGACCCGCAGGTTTGTTAACGGGCTTAACTACGGGGCCCAAAAGTTTGTGACTGTAGCGGAGCCGCGGAACCTAAATGAGGCATATAGGAAGGCTGGTAAGTACTACCTGGTACACCAGAAGGAAAGAGAGGCACACAAAAGAGAGCGAAAGAATGCTGAAGTGGAGCAACAACAGAAGAAAGCCAAGATTGATCGCCCTGAACAACGCCAGAACAACCAAGGCGGAGGAATATTCCCAGGTCAAAATCAGAGGAGGGATCGTGAGAGACACTATTACTGCTAGCGTTGTAATAGAGATCACCCAGGCGTGAATTGTGACGGAAGTCAAACCAAATGTTTCAATTGCGACAAGCTAGGACATCGAGCTTTTGAATGCAATTCCAAGAAGGCAGACGTACCGGCAAACCCGAACAAGGGGAATGACGGAAACAATGACAACAACCCCAATAGAGACCGAATCTACGTGATGAATCAAACTTAGGCAAATGCTCACAATCTCGACTCAGGTAAAATAACCTCTCGTTAAGGGAGGTAGAATGTAATACTTTAAAATTTTGACATTTGACTTTAGTTAATGTTTCGGGACGAAACATCTTTTAAGGAGGGTAGATTGTGACACTCCGAAAAGTTTAAATAAAATAAATAATTTTATTAGTACGATAGTGTTATTTTAATAATTAAGTGAATTAGATTGGTGACATTTTCAATAATAAAAATGACAATTTAAGAAGTTTTAAATCATGATGGTATAAGTTAAATTTAATGTGTACAAAGATAACAACGTAGGTACATAATACATACACGTACAGTATTGTACGCAACACAATTGTGGAGTAATAACAAAGATTAAGTTGACTTTTCAAAGGCAGGCTTATAAACAAAATATGTAGTCTACAGTATGTAACAACTTACCTAAAATACAGTTACGTATTAACCAAGAAGTAAACCAAAATACTACTCCTTAACATTAAAAACAAATATAGGCGACCAACTGCGTTACAAACTCTGCGCATCGGTTATAAACCAGCAAAGGAAAGATTTTAAAAATAAAGGAGGAATATCTCCAAACGTATGAAACGATAAGCTCGTGCGTAGTATCCAACGCTCAAAACCTCAAACTAATCGGATAAACCATAGAAGTGAAACTTTGGGATCTGAAACATAAGCTTGAACCTTCAGCCACACCTATAAATAGCAGACCAAACTTTCAGTTTTCTTCATCCCCAAACCTGCGACATATATATACATATACGTATATATACTCTATTTTTTTTCGACCCTTCGTTATAATACAAACCGAGCCTTTAAAATACTCTAAAAACCTTCCCCATCGAGAGAGGAATCCAAAGGCGAAAGAATCATAGAAAACGGTCGTGAAACGAGAGAGATATCACTTGCCGGAGTTTCGCCGGGCTAACCGTAACGACGGAAAACGGAGAAGAAGAAGGAACCGCCGGCGCCGCCAGTCCATCACCGACCACCGTCGTCCCAGAAGGAGCCGATAGCACCGCCGTTTCTCTCGTCCGTCGAGGTAACCTTTCCCCTTGCTTTTGGCCATTGCCGGCGTCGCAAGGAAGAAGACAACCGTCTTCTGTGTTTTTTTTTCCTGGGCCGAACTTCCTTCATGTAGGCCTGCTCTATTTTCTTTTTATTATTAATTGGGACGGTATATTTTATTATGTTTGGGCTGGATGAATTCTTAGTATAATAATAATATAATAATAATAATCTGCAGAACTAATAAATGGAGGTGAAAAATATTAATGCTGAAATTGGCTTGATTAAATGATAGTAATCACTTGGTTAAATTTGTTAATTTTTACTTGACATAATTACATAATGTTAAATACTCCCTCCGTCCCGGAATTATCTTCATTCTTTCCTTTTCGGTCCGTCCCAAATTTATCTCCTTTTTCCCTTTTTGGTAAAGAATATGTGGTTCACAACCATTCTTACACATTTCTCTCTCCTCTGCATAACTCTCCACCACACAAATTCCACTATCTTAAAACTCGTGCCCGGTCAAAACCGGAGTTAAATATGGGACGGAGGGAGTAATAAAAAGGAATCGATGGTTTAATTAATAAAAACTGATAAAACGAATATTTTATTAAAATAATAATTAGTTATTTGGGTTTAGTAACATGAGTAGAAAAAAAAATTGGATAGATATTATTTTCACTAATTATTGGAATAATTGAAGTAGATTAATAAGTTAACATAAATACCGACTCGGAAATATCAAGTGTTTGCGTAAGCTAATAATAACCGGATAATTTATCCTTTATTAATGGATTATTGATAAGTAAAATCTAATTGGAACTTTTATATGAGTAGATAAAGTCCAACCCTCTATAATAGAGAATCAGTAAAATAATATAGAAAGTTAGAAGTGGATTGATTAATAAAATAAACTCGTATAATTAATTAATAATATTAGTATATGCGAATAATAAAATAAAAGGGGAAAATCGGGTAAAATAATTACAAATAAGATAAGTGACTAATTATATCATCTTAATTAAAAAGGTGAATATTTAGAGACCGGAATTGAGGAAGAGAATTAGGAGCATCAGGACTTAAGGTAAGTTTCTCTGTCAATCCAAAATTGTTTCCTCGTATTATATGCTTATTATGCATTATGTGATTAAGTATAAATTTTAAATGTGTACTATTTTGGATGACTAACAATTTGTGAAATATTGGAGATATATTTTGGGATTTAATCCCTAGTATGACTTGGAGTGAATTTTTATGTAAAAGAATTTTGGAGTATTTATGAATTTTGAATTGTGTGTATGTGATTTTGAGGAATACAAATTAAAAGTACTTTTTGGGATATTAAATATTTTTAAATACCTTTGAGACTATTTAGAGAGATTGAGAAATATTTTTGGAAGCATATCTTGATGATTCAAGATAAAATTAAGGATTTTATAAGAGGTGAACACCCGGGAGAAATCCGTGGTGTCGGTTTTTCCACATCCGGATAAATGTGGAGGGTGGTTAGAGCTATATACCGCGGGTTTAGTTTAGGTTGATTATTGTTGGCGGGAGAAATCCCGGTAAATATTGGTGGCGGGAGATTCCCGGTATTTCTTTTGAGAACTTTAAAAGTTCTTTGGTGGCCGCGGTAGTAGTTTCTAATTACCCGGGTTTCTAACCCATTGTGAGGTAGGGGGGCGTTGTCCGAACTACTTGGACTTCTTACTACTCAGAGGGCTTGGAATCCTTTTTAGGGGGTGTGCACACTTAAGGGTGAAGTTCAGTTTCCAATTGGTGGTCGGTGGGAGCCGGAATTCTGGGATGAGTCGTACGCAACAACGATTCATTGGACTCGAGAAATCTTGAGTTTCGCCCATCTTAAAAGAATCTGAAAGTGACATTGATTTCGGAATGGTGATATTTTTAGCTACAAAAGTTATTTTTGAAAAGTGATACTTCTTTTGAGATATTAATTAATTGTTGGGAGCTTATAAATATTATTTTTAATTATAAGGGTATTTTATAAAGTTGATAAATGATGTTTTTGATTAAAAAAGAAATTCGGTGGTGTGAGTATTTTTATATATAGTATTATATGAAAAACTATTTTTGTCAAACTTGATTATTTTACGGGGTTGGGTAGTACTTACTTAGCTCTAAAGCTAATTTTTGTTTCCTTTTCTTTGTTTTGTTCTCTGCACTTTATTTGTGCAGGTAATGATGAATATGAAGCTCATGATGTTTGACGAGCCTTGAGAGCGCTTTAGAAGATTTATGTGTAGCCTTCACTTAGTTTGAATAATGTTATTAAATTTTGAATTTAAGTTTTTAATTCGGTTGAACTCATGGTGGATAGCCTAAACATCCAGCCAAGTTGAGGGCTGGGTGTGGCGGTAACACACCCTTTTTCCATTACTGTTATTTCCGCTGCAAAACTCTATTTATTTTTTAAGGAATAAATCAAGGTTGTTATCAATATATTATTATTTCAAGTATTATTTTGGGCGGAAAAAATGGGGGTGTTACAAACCCCCCACAACCATCTAACGATCCTCCTGAATCTTCGACCTCGTATCAACCACATGAGGATGAAAATCCGATATTTTATGAACCTTATGTGGATGAAGGTTTAGCTGAAAGATTTCAAGATGTTTTAAAAGCAGCTGCTCAACCCCTGTATGCTGATTGTGAGGGATACTCTCAGCTATTCGCCGTTACAGAGTTTATGAACATAAAAGCTGAATACAGTCTCCCTGTAACTTGCATGACTAGAGTCTTGCAGTCAGTAGGCGGGATGCTACCACGTGATCATAACCTTCCGGATTCATATTATCACATGAAACAATTAATGTCTAAGTTGGGGCTACCTTATATAGAAATTGATGCGTGCCCGGAAGGATGTATGTTGTTCTGGAAGGATGATGAGGCACTTGAATTCTGCAAGTTCTGTGGTGGAAACAGATACAAACCTGTTCCTCAAAGTAGAAAGAAACCACGAAATAGGTCAGCATTGTCTAAATTGTATTACCTCCCAATAGCTCCACGACTTCAGAGGATGTACGCTTCGACTGCTACTGCGAAACACATGACATGGCATGTTGAGCACGAAACAAAAGAGGTTATGATGTCTCACCCTTCGGACTATGAAGCTTGGAGACACTTTGACCGTTGTCATCCTCAGTTTGCAATGGAGCCACGAAATGTGCGACTGGGATTGTGTTCAGACGGATTTGCTCCATTTGGAAGGTTTGGGAAGAACTATTCATGTTGGCCGGTCATGTTAACTCCTTACAATCTCCCTCCCGACATGTGCATGAAAAGTCACTTTATCTTTTTGACTCTAATCTGTCCGGGTCCCAATGATCCAGGGAAAAAAATAGACATTGATCTCCAACCCCTTATCGAGGAGATGAATGAACTTTGGGCCATTGGGACACCAACATATGATGTTTCAAGGGATCAAAATTTCATAATGAAAGCTGCCATCATTTGGACCATTAACGACTTCCCTGCCTATGACATGCTTTCGGGATGGAGCACACATGGTCTTATGGGATGTCCGATATGCATGGAGAAATCAGGTGCCAATTGGCTAACTTTCAGTAAAAAACCAAGCTACTTTGATTGTCACCGCAAGTTTCTCTCGGAAAACCACCGATATCGAAAGGACAAAAAGTCTTTCATTAGAGGTAGAGTGGTACGAGACACCCCGCCCCCGAGATTGACCGGGGAAGCAATTTTTAACCGGGTTCGACGTATTCCTACGGTTATACAAGAACCAAATAAGAAGCCATATGGGTTTTGTGATACCCATAAGTGGACAAAGAGGAGTATCTTTTGGGAGTTACCATATTGGAAAGACCTTCTCATTCGTCACAATATAGATGTCATGCACACTGAGAAGAACGTGTTTGACAATATATTTAACACAGTGATGGATTTCAAAGGCAAAACTAAAGACGGTCTTGCATCTCGAAAAGATATGACTATTTGGTGTGATAGGCCCGAACTATCTGTTGATCTAGAATATCAGGGCAACAATATTCCAAAACAGTCTACCAAGTCACACAAGCACAAAAAGAATCAATATTACAATGGCTTGTGTCTCTTAAGTTTCCAGATGGCTACTGCTCCAACTTGTCCAGATGCGTGGACATGGACAAACTTGCAACGACGTCGAGCATGAAAACTCACGATTGTCATGTAATCATGCAAAGACTTCTCTCAATTGCACTGAAAGAGATGCTTCCTGAACACGTATGGTCCTGCATTACTGAGATCAGTTTGTTGTTTCAGTCGATATGCTCAAGCGTTTTGGATGCAGCATCCCTCCGTAGACTAGAAGAGTCTGTTCCCATGCTGATGTGTAATTTGGAAAAGATAATGCCTCCATCATTTTTCGATGGAATGGAACATCTTGTGATACATCTTCCATATGAGGCTTTAAATGGTGGACCCGTCTTCTATCGTTGGATGTACAGCTTTGAAAGGTTCGTCACAATTTCATTTATCTTTGAATATTTATTTCATAACAACATTAATCTGTGTACCACTTTTATTTTACTTTGCAGATTTCTTGGAGAGTTGAAAAAGAAAGTGACCAACAAGGCACACGTTGAGGCTTCAATTTGTCAAGCATATCTTCAACAAGAAATCTCAACGTTCTCATCTTTTTATTTTGAGCGTGAAGTCATCACTAGAAGAAAGAGACCTGCCCGAAACGATGACATTGGCGAGGATTTATATGAAAATGTAGTTTCCATTTTCAATTACCCAGGTAGAGGTAAAGGAACTTGGACAAACCGATACATCGTGGGAAAAGAATTACAAATTGCGCATACTTATATGCTCATTAATTGTCCAGAAATCTTACTGTTTTATCAGTAAGTTAAATTTGTAGTTATCTTTGTAATATATATACAATTAAGGTAGTTGATTTATAATATTTTCATGTTTGACTTCACAGTGAATTTAGAGCGGAGTACTCAGCATTCCCTGACAATGAAATTGATGCATTGGTGGACTCTCATTTTATACCGTGGTACAAGCATCAGGTATATATACATACACACACATTAATTATATATATTATTAAGTAATAATATTTAATAATTACCCAATGTTATCGTGTTTTAATTTACAGATCAATAACCATGGGATTGTGGACCCTTTGTTAGTATCATTATCGTGGGGCCCTGGTGCCTACGCCAAAGTTTGGCGGTCATATGTGATAAACGGTTACACCTATCACACAGTCGGTTACGGACAGGGCCGATCAACAGTGAACAGCGGGTTATGTGTCCCAACAATCGGTTATGATAACTCGGAAACCAATTTTTTTTGTGTCTTGCACGAGATTCTCGAACTGGAAATGCCTTCTGCTGGGAAAAAGTTGACATGCGTTTTGTTCCGCTGCAAATGGATCGATCCAACACGTGGTGTGCGAAAAAATTCAAAGTATAATATGATTGACCTCAACCACTCTCACGTGTATACGAAAAATGAGCCTTTTATACTTGCTCAACAAGCAGCCCAGATTTATTATACAGAATACCCTTCAACCAGGCGGACACAGAATCCTTGAGTGTGTGCATGTACTGTCCGTCCGAGCAAAATTGTATCACAAACTCAACACAAGGACGTTGATTTAGATGCTTTTCAGCAACATTTTTTCCAACCTCCACCGATTGTTGAGACGGTCAACCAGCACATTTAGCTAAGTGATCCAAATGGGGGAAGTGTTGAAGTCATGCCAGAAACGCACCTTCCGGACCTAACAACTCCATCTGAGCGCGAAATTGTTGAAATGCATGAAGAACAATGATACGTTCGTAATTTCCATTTCTATGTTTATGTTTTTAATTAGTTTTGCTTGACTTTTACTTTGGAAATTACACACTTTTGGTGTAATAGATTAGATTGTTAAATTCTTGTAAATAGGTTAGATTAGACATATTCTGAGCTTAAGCAGGTTTTGGTCACCCAAAGTACAGTTGGTGAACCCAAAAAGTGAAGAGAAGGTGCAAAAGTTCAAAGACAAAAGAAGATCCTGAATTTTGGTCTATACTCGGTCGAGTATTAGCTATACTCGATCGGGTATTAGGTTGGAACTTCAAATCGGATCAGATCCGAAGACAAAGGAACATGCAGGGAAGATTTTGGCCACGATTCTATGTCTATACCCGATCGGGTAGACCGACATACCCGATCGGGTATGCCTTTAAATTGCAAACGAAGATCGGTCGAGTATAGCCCGAATACCACTTTCTAAGCATACTCGACTGGGTATTCATATATACTCGATCGGGTATACACTTAGAAAATAGCCTGAAACCGGTCGAGTATGCCTCGGATCGGGTGTTACACACATACTCGATCGGGTACCATGTATATACTCGATCGAGTACCCGAATCCCATCCCAAAAACCTATAAATACACCTCCTTTCCTTCACAAAAAGATATCCAATCCCTTGTACATCTAAGCTCAGTATAGAATGGCTCTTTCTTTATATTTTTCATCATGTTTAGTCTCCAAATGAGGAGCTAAACTCTTCCATCTTGGTTTTGCTACTTTGAAGCTTAATGAATTTGTAAGTTGTGAGTTATTTTCTTTAATCTTCTTACTTGAATATTAATTCTTTCTTTCAAAATACTATCTCTATATCAAAGTTGGGGAGTGTTACTAAGATGACAATTAGTTAACATCTTGACATTGGTTATAGTAATAGCTATTTCTTCCTCTATGATAATATTGGGGAGTGTTACTAAGATGACAATTAGTTAACATCTTGATATTAATCATAGTAGGATTCATTTATTTTAATATTCTTCCTTGAGTATTAATTAATTCCTATTCATATTTCATGTTAATATCTTAAACATTACTTAAAGTATCAACTAGTATTGTTTCTCATATTAATTATTACTAGAATCAATCGGTTAATACGCTTGTTATTAATCCGGTTCTTTCAACGGTAGTAAACTTGGAATATTAATGCATGCATCTCATGGTTAATATGCCAAGGGGAATTAATTATATTGATTAAACCAATAAACCGCTTGTGTTGAGGTTATCAATCTCAATCGTTTTCATCTTAAGTTTATTGCTACTATCAAGTTAATATACGGCGCTTGTTCTATATTGACTCGATAGTAAGTTTTATTAATGAACGCATCTCGTTATTAATAACTACCCTCGATGAACTGGATATACTCCTCGATTGAGTATTCGAGAGGAAGATAGTTAAAGATATAACCGGGATCGACGAACATTTCATTAAGTGGATAAAAGCAAAACCAAGTCTTCATCTCATTGAATTAAACTCATATAGGTTGTTTATCTTAGTGTTGTTACAACAAACAAATCTAAACCCCCCTTTGTTACTACTTTTATAAAAGAAAAGTATTCCTTTCCATGTGGATACGAACCTTACTACACTATACTACGTATTAGTGTCGTATTGATTAATTATTTTGAGTGCACCTAACGACGAGTGCACGTCAAACAACAAAATGCTCATTATCAGGAAGAAGGGGAATGGATAGATGGTTCTGATACAGAAGAAGATGTTGTATATGTAGAAAATAATGACTCTGATAGTGACTAATTGTATTATTGTATTACAATTTTTTTGAGTTCGAATATTTGTGCTCTTTTCTTCATTATTATTGTAGTCCAACAATATTTGATTTTTTTTCTTCATCATTATTAAAAGATAAGTACGAAACGCACAATTTTTTTTATCACAATCAACTAACGAAACATTAATCAGTTATCATAATAACCAAACAAACAAATACAAAATTATTCATCAATATCAAAACTTTCAAGAGGCCTAGCCAACAACTCGTTAATTTTCCTTTCAGCTTCTTCGTTGATCGGATCCATATACTCCGAACATTCTTCTGCACGTTGAAGCATCCGACACAAGTTGTTTGCTTTTGACTTGCCGAGTGAGTCGGATTCCTCATTTTTATAGTCGCCAAAACTTTCAAGGGGTCTAGCCATCAACTCCATGATTCTCTGGTATGCTTCAACGGTTTTCGGCTCCATAAGCTGTGTAATTAGCTTGAGTCGTTTCATAGCTCTGCACATCGAATCCCAGTCAATTGGTTCTCGATTAGCCATTTATTTCACAAACATTGGACCGGCATCATCTATTTATACTCAAAAATCGAATATAATAAAGTGGAATTTATTCCACTGTCGCATGTCGCCGGCCTGCCCGAGGTGAACGGATGGAAAGTAATTAGTCACGGACCCGTCCGTGACTAGATCCGTGAATAATTCAAAAATCGGACAGGTCCGTGACTAGGTCCGTGACTAATTCAAATTTTTTTGAATTAGTCACGGACCTTGTCACGGACGGTCCGTGACAAAGTCGGTCAAAGGCGGCCCTGACACCTCGTCTGCCACGCGTCTGACTTCGTTATTTACGACGGCTAGTCACGGATTTATCCGTGACTACGTCCGTGACTACGCCTTCATATAAAATCAACACTTAACTAATTTTTCATTCCGCATACTCTCCAACCCAAAACCCTACCTCTTTCTCCCTAACTCTTCTACACTCCACCGATCTCAACCTCCAACTCCGCCTTCCACCGTTCGCTGCCGCCGTTCGCCGCCGCCGTTCGCTGCCGCCGTTCGCTGCCACCGTCTTCTTCCACTATCGGCCGCCTCCTTCGTTTTTCATAAAGGTTATGTATTCTAAATTTTATTTACCTTTAATTCTTATTTTTAGTATTTGATTTTTATTTCAAAAATGCATGTTACGATAAGTGTGTTTCCATTATTCTCAAATTGTTTAATATGATTTAGTTAATATGCTCAAATTGATTTATGTATATGTAATTTGATCCAGTACATGTTATAATTTGATTTTAGTTAGTATCTCAAATTGATGCATGTGGAGTAATATGATTTCGAAATATAATTTCATTTAGTTTATAATATTCCTTTAATTTTAGAATTGAAATACATGTTAATATAGTTTAGTTTTCGAAATACTTGTTTTCTGTACATGTTATTAAATTCATTTTTGTATACATGTTATTAATTAATATTATAAGCACACGTTTTTTGAAATACATGCTATAAGCACACGTTTTTTCGAAATACATGGTAATATATTCAGTTTATTACATGTTCTATATGCTCAATATAACATGATTTAGTTTGTATATATGTTTAATTGGCATGCCTGTATAAGTTTAATTAATATGTATGCCTAAATAAGATTTAATTGTAGGTTAAAGATGCATGATTAAACATTATCTTTTTTAATTTCGGACTTATGAATTAAAGAACATGAGTTAGTTTAATTAATATGTATGCCTAATTACATTATATTACATTATATTCTCAAATTAATTAAAGAAATACCCCCTCGTGTTAAACCTTCAAAAACGTTTAACATGTTAATTATAAAATATTAAGTTAGACATTAAAAACAGTTTTCTCAAATTTAATATAAAATATAGACTATGAAAAAACACTGTTTAATAAATAAACCGTTTTAATTAAAAAGTTTTCCCAAAGTAATTAAAAAAATACCCCCTCATGTTAAACTTCCAAAAAAGTTTAACATGTTAATAATTATAAAATATTGAGTTACACATTAAAAACAGTTCTTAAATTTAGTATAAAATGTAGACTATAAAAAGACAATGTTTAATAAATAAATTGTTTTAACTGTTTTAATTTAAAAGTTCTTCTGAATTAATTAAAAAAATACCCCTCATGTCAAACTTCCAAAAAAGTTGGACATGTTAATTATAACATATTGAGGTAGACATTAATATAGAATATTCATTATACCAAAAAACTGTATTTACACAAAACTGTTTTTATTTTTTTTATACAACTGTTTTTTATACAACTGTTTTTTATACAACTGTTTTTTATACAACTGTTTTTTATACAACTGTTTTTTATACAACTGTTTATAAAAAACTGTTTATAAAAAACTGTTTAAAAACGTCAGTCACGGACACGTCCGTGACTACCACAAAAAATAAAAAAATTTAAATTAAACTTAGTCACGGCTCGTGTCCGTGACTAACATAAAAAAAAATTAAATTAAAAGTAGTCACGGATCTGGTCCGTGACTAACGTGCCGGAGGGCTAATTCCGGTCAAGATGTAGTCACGGATCGAGTTCCGTGACTAATCCGTGACTACACTTAGTCACGGCCAATGTTCCGTGACTACGTTCTAGTCACGCGGAATTAGTCACGGAACTAATCACGGACAAAATCCGTGACTAAATGTGTTAGTCACGGACTTTTTACACTACGGTCCGTGACTAAGTCCGTGACTACAGGCGAATTTTTTTGTAGTGAGAGGCTTTATCGTGGTAAACAACTTTAGTTTAGGCATAAATAATGTTAATTATTTCTATTTAAAAATATAAGAAAACAGGTTTGGAAAATCAATTAAAATTATAGTACCTTAAAACTTTGTTACCGAACTAAGCGTAGAATAATTCACTGATAAAGTTTTAATTTTCAGTCAGAGTGTTTAAAGAAAAACATGAATTAAACAGGAAACAATAGAAGCATATTTCGTTGCTCATAACAAATGTCTCCCTTACAATTCTAATAGCCTTATCACCACCACCCCTTCCAGGCTTCTATCATCACTGTCAAACTCTTGCATTCTTTTGGGCATAAGTTTTCTGGAAGAAAGGGAGCGGTTTTGTTTTCACTTTCTATTTGCTCTTCTTTCTTCATTTTAACCTCCCAAACAACAATTGTGTTTTATTTGGGTAGAAATGGATAGAAAATCCCTCCCGCTAAGATTTTCTCATTTTTCCTATACGAAAAATCCCACTAAGATTGATAAAGTTTGTGTGGCTCTAAATCATTTTTACTTTATCAATTGAGGTAAGACATCATGCCCCCCTCCGTAATATTTCCAATTT